TGTATGCGGAGTCCCCAAGGAACTGACTTATTAGTTGGGAACTAACAACCGTACGAGAGGCTCCAGTGTCTATGGTCAGTTTACACGGCATTCCGTTGACCTCGCCCTTGATGATTACTGACTGTTCCCATCGTGGGTTTGTGAGATCGAGATCCTTGGGGCTCTTTTAACATCAGCCAGCACCCGCCCCGCAGTTCTGGCTTTTACTCGTTTCCCTGCTGCTGCTGGGCGGTGCTGTTGGCCGCACTACCCTCCTGATATCGTTCACCTTCCCTTTCTGCGGTTCGCTTAGGGCAGCTGGATCGAAGATGGCCCTTTTCCCCACAGCCGTAGCACCTAGGGCTGTATCCTTTGTTGCGGTCGCGAACTGTAGCTGCTGCAACCTCCCTGACGCGATGGGAACGATGATCCTGCCGCACGGCTTCCACCTCCAGTGCATGGGCCAAGGCGTCCTTAAGCGTCTCGTGGTGCCCGAGCCTCACAGTAGCTCTGACTTCCATGTCGCGGATGCCGTCGATGAATGTCTGCACCAGGTTCCCTTCAATGAGCGCAGGTACAGACCGGTATGCTTTTCACACCAGCTTCTCCACCTCTAGAGCCCACTGCTGCAGGTTTTCGTTGATGCGCTGCACGCGATCTTTAAGCTGCGCACGAAAGACGTGTTCCAGGTGAGCGTCGCCATATCTCGCCTTCAATGCCTCAAGGAGTTGCTCATAAGTCACTTCCTCACCTAGAGCTTCCAGAACTGTTAAGGCCTGGTCGCGCAGGCCTAGTGTGAGAGCAGTCATGGCCTGACTTTTATTCCAGCCGTTCGCCTTCATAACAGCCTCGAACTGGATTTTGTAGGCTGACCAGGAAGAGGTACCGTCGAACGGTGGCACCTTGAACCTACGTAGCGAAGGTGTTGTAGTTACTACGGGAGCTGTAGCTCCATCTCCAAGTTTGAGTTCGTCCAGTGATTTCTTCATGTCAGCCATTACGTTGTCAACCCGATTGTTTACTTGGTCGATTCGGGTTTCAGCTTTCTCGATTCGGTTTTCAGCTTTCGCGATTTGGGTTTCAGCTTCCGACAGGCGGTTGTCATGCTGAGCAACCCTATCCTTCACCTCCTTTATCTCCTTCCCGAAGGTAGCGTGAAAGTCCTTCATGAGGAGCATCTGCTCTTCCAACCGACGGGCCTGTTCCTCTTGTCCGCCCCGCAGCTGCTCCTCCAAACGACGAACCTGGTCTTCCTGTCGGCGGGCCTGTTCATCCTGTCCACCCCGCAGCTGCTCTTCCAACCGACGGACCTGTTCCTCTTGTCCGCCCCGTAGCTGCTCCTCCAAACGACGAACCTGGTCTTCCTGTCGTCGAGCCTGCTCCTTTTGTCGGCGAGCCTGCTCCTGCAGCATCACCATCAGAGCACCTAAGTCAGGTGCTGCAGATGTAGGAGCTACCGACGGGTTTGCAGCCGGTGGCTGGCCCTCCGACGTCTGCGACGTTGCACCACCAAATCTTCGTTGGTCCGTCTCCTACTGGCGTTGACTTCGGGTACGGACACCCTCAGTTTCCTCCTTAGGTAAAATCGGCATGATTTTATCCCACTTCTGACACCAATTGTTACGAGCTTGAGGTTCGTGACAATAAAAATTGCCGATAAAATTACCTAAATTAACACTTTAATTTACTTTACACAAATTAAAACTTAATAAACACTAATAATTAAACACACTAATTCACTTTATTCCGCTCCGAAGCTTCGCTTGTCTCGCCAAATCAACACTGTCTCGATCGCATCTTGCAGCGCCTATATATACAAATTAGCAATGAAGCATCCGGAATATTCAAGTAAATGCGCGCAAAGCGACGAGTGTTCGAGTGTAGATTTTCTAGAAACTTAGTTCGTCGGATGGCGCTGTCGGTTGAAAGATTTGTGATGTCATTTTCTGCAAAGCTCCCCTCGCTCTCGTTCCTGACACTAGATGGCGCTAGTGTATCGTCGACTTGAGCGCGTAACAGTACAATGTTGATCGATTGCCAATGGAAGGTCATTAATATATAAAATAAAAAGCAAAGGACCAAGAATTGTACCTTGTGGCACACCTTTGTAGTGGGTTGTAATTTGGAGCTATGTGACATGTCATAACTTTAATCCAGTTGCGCATTGTGTTCCGTTAGTTAAATAAGATTGTATCCATTAGAATGCAAGTCCTCTAATGCCATATTTTTTAATTTTATTTAGTAACAGTTCGTGGTCTACAAAATCGAATGCTATACTCATATCGAAAAAGACACCAGTTACTTTCATACCTTTATCAATTTCTGTTATGTGCTGAGTTACTGTGTAACTAGCTAGTGTCGTTGATTTTTCTTTTTGAAAACCGTTTTGTTCTTCTCGTAAAATCTTATGTTTATTTAGAAAACTATTCAGTCTAGTATGCATTGCTTTTTCAAATACTTTAGCTAATATTGGGATAAGAGCAATAGGTCTATAATTATTAATTTCTTTTTTGCTGTCCGCTTTATGAATTGGCTTAATCACAGAAATTTTTTTTCACAGAAAGTTTGTTTGGAAAGATTCCATATTCAAATGATATATTAATAATATAAGAAAGAACTGGAGATACCAAATCAGCACAAGACTTTAAAATTTTTGTGGAGATTCCGTCATAACCCACTGAATTTTTATTATTTAACCCTTGTATAATTTTTTTTTAATTTCTTCTGCAGAGCAGGGTTGCAGAAATATACTGTTATTTTAACATCAACGTACTTTAAGGGAAAACTTTTATTTTTTATCATAGTTTTTTTTTTGGCAAATTTGTAAAGAAGCTGTTAAATATGTATATATATGTAAAAATGTTTCATTTTTGGTAATCGAAGTAATGTCCTTATTTTTCCGTAAATCATTTGATGACTTTGATAAGATTCCAAGTAGCTTTACATTTATTTTTAGCTTTATTAATGAAATTATTGTTTGTGTTGCTTTTTGCTTTATGATACAAGATTTTAAGATTTTACTATATGTCCTGACATGTGTCTTCCTATTCTGTTTTGTTTTTAAAAAATAGACATTAATTTTATTTTTGTGCAACATGATTTTTTAATTCCCTTTGTGATCCATTTTGTGACCGAATTAAATATTTTTATATTAATTCTTAAAGTGGGAAAGCAGAGATCATAGAACATTATCAAAGTTTCATGAAAATTATGAAAGCGGAATTAACATCCTTGTCTTCAATTACATCTTTCCATGAGATACTGGAAAGGCACTGTCTGAATTTGGTAATATATTCTTTGTTATAATCCCTAATAAATATAAAGTAATGTGAATTAAATTTGTGGGTTAAAGCTGCCGGTGTGAATTCTAACTTTTGTGCTGTGTCATGGTCTGATAAATGAAGTACGTGTGTTTTACCTACTGCATTAGGGATATTGCTTGCAATATGGTCTAAGCATGATGTTTTGCGAGTTGGGCCCAATATATGTGATTTTAAATTATAATTTGCTAAAATTCAATTTAATTCTATCGACAATTTATTATTTACAAGAGTATTATATTATATGAGTTATTATAATATTAAAATCACCTGCTATTACATTTTTGATTTTTTGTATGTGATAGTTTATTTAATAGTACTTGTAATTTGTTAAAGAAAGTAAATGCATTCGAATTTGGTGTTCTGTAAAGACATACTATAATACAATTCCATTATGGTATTCCTACTCCCAACACTCATAAGATTTTTCTACTGATATTTCATTACAATATTTTATAACATTAAACTCATATTGTTTCCTTACCAAAATACAAACACCGCCACGGCATTCACTTTATCTACCATAGGAACTAGCAATTCGAAAAATTTTCAAATTGATGTTATTTTCATGTCCTGATTTAATAAAAGTTTCAGTAAAACAAAGAACGTTTAAATATATGTGTGTTTCAGTAAGTTCATTAATACATATTTCTACCATTAATAATTTGTTGAGAAGTCCAGCTATATTTTGGAGAAAAATTACAACTCTATTATTTAATTCATTTAAATTAACGAAAGGAATTATTTTTTTGTTTTGAATCTGTGTCATGCAAAGATATGTTTGTTGATATTTCTTTTCTATTAATTTTTTAAAAAATAATACGTTATTGTTCCCTTTTTTTATGACTTGATGTGTTTAAGATTGATCACTTATGTTTATTGTTTTTTTTTTAGGATAATGCGTATTGCATTTTCATAAAATAAGAGGGTATAGTATCATGGTTTGTGAACAGTTGACAACATGGTTTTTGATGCTTTAACTTTAAAAACTTATTTGAATAATCCTTTGAGTCTATTAACAAATTAATTTTATAACAAAGTTTGCCAAAATTTTGTTTCTTACTTAGTAATCTACTTGATAAATATATAAAATTACAATTATTCATGTTATCACACATTATTTTTAGTGTTTCATTTAAATTAACTGTATTAAGATAATTGTTTTTATTTATGCTTAATAATATAATATTTAAATTACGTATATACCTTAAAGCAGACGAAAGTTCAATACTAAGTTTGGTAGGATTTGTGTCATTTTCGCCAACACACAGTATAACATGGTTTGATACGTTCGGCTGAAGTTTATAACAAGACTTTAATATTTCTTCTGCCGTAGCATAAGGCTTAGTAATTGATGAGATATTATATTTATTATATCTTGATAGTTGTCTTGAAATTATTAAATGTGACGAAAGCCCGACGCATTGTTGACTCCCTATTATAAATATTTTATTTTCAAAATTGTTCTTGGATTCTTTATTTGTAGGTTTATTGAGATTATTAGTTTGAGTACTAGCAGTGTCATCTTATGGTAATAGTTGGGACTTTATGCATTTATTGTTAGTGGATTGGAAATATTGTTCTTGAATTTGGCCATAGGTTTGAGTTGGTTTACTTTGAGTCAAACTATCATTTCTTATCTGTAATTCCTGGAAACTTTTATTAAGTTCCTCTAGTGAATTATCCTTGCGTAATTGTCTTTTAACAATTTTTTTTCGTAGAGTTATATTTTTTAGAGCTAGTAGTGGATTCGGTAGCAAGTTTTTTTGGTTTTCTATAGTTTTTTTGCCGATCTTTTAATTTTTTAGATAAGTTATATATTTCATAGTTTAAGTTATCAATTTCACCATTAGCACTATCCAATTTCTTCTGTAAATTTTTTATTTCTTCCCTTAATTCGTCTGGATCACTGTCATAACCAATCGATAGATCAGGTAGGCTGTGTCTTCTGCAATCCGATCTGTGTGATATAAAGGAGCAATCAAAAGAATCCTTTGTCTTCCTTTTACGAATTGTGATATTGTCAATTTCCATTTTTTCCTTTTGTAAATATAAATATGATAATAGTCACTTTTTGTTGTTATTCCTTATAAATGATAAAAAGAAAGAAAGAAAGAAAAAATTATTTTATATTATCTATATGGATTTGATCTGCCGATTATAGAAACACAGATACAAGTTCTGTTGTCTTATGGTAATTGAGCTATAACTACTTGATAGTTAACGAAATTACTCACTAAATACTTGTTTCTTTTATTTATTAGTTTAGAGTGTGGGTTGTATTGTTCTAAATATAAGCCACTTCACATTTAAATATTTTAACGAAGTACCCCATCTTTTTCACAACACATATTCCTTTTTTGTCTTGTTTTTATTAACTTTTAGTGATTTTTTGCCTTACGTACAACTACTTTGGTATGTAAATTTTGCACTGATTTCGTAATAATACACTAATTGTTGTCACTATAAATTTTAAAAGTATTAACTTTTCAAGAATTTGTCTCTTGTTACTTTAAGATAACTTAGGATGTTGATGTGTGTATAGAATCCTAGTTGTGCCAGCGTTTTTGATAAAATTTATTCACTTTCACTATTTAAAATCGAATTAAATTCGCGGAGCTAACGTTACAGCGGCTACACAAAACGTCACGTCACGTTAGTATGGATATTAATTATTAGGGGAATAAAACACAGAATTTTCCGTTTCTGTTGGAACTTCAAAAAAGTATTTAAAAATACTTCCTGTTCAATGCAATGTAAAGTTATGGGGTCAATTCATCAACTACTTTTCGAGATTTTTAATATAAAAATATTGAATATTATACACATAAGAATTTAATTAAAAATATTTTTGTACTAAAGAATATATAGAAAAAACTAGCACATTGCCCGAGGCGTCCCCCCATAGAACCACATAAATCGGTCACTCTATTTCAACATGAAAGACCGACAAACAAACACACTTTCATGTTTGTAATAATAGTCCAAAATATAATTACTGGCATTGTGGGAGGATCTAGCCAGCTGCCGACGAACATTTAGTATACCTTGCTGTAGGTGTCTGCCTGACCCAGGTGTTGAAGGCATCGGACTTACTGGCGAACCAACTCTTGGAGGGGTGCTGGGCACAACATGTGCTCTTGGCATGGGGCTTTGAGACACCTGAAACCAAAATTTTATAGTAATATGCAATTACACAATTAACACAAAAAATTCTAAAACAAACCTTTAAATGAGTTACGTACTATGCGTACTTCACTTGGCCGTGAAGACAAATGCGATGTCTCAGGAACACATTCAAGTCTGGGTCGCTGTGGTGACTGAAAATGGATATTTCTGATAAAACATATATTATATAACTGTCCCAAATCTATTTCACATAAGCATAAAATAACTTTTTGAATTAAAGTCTATAATTTTAATTAGATTTTGTAATTGCATTTATTAATATTAAAATATATCATACCTGTATTGTAGGAGTATTGATAACATCTGCTTCCGTTAATAGAATATTCGTTGAAGAATCTTGTTCCTGAAACACATTCAAACATGAGCACACATAAGTATAAATATTATAAGTATGTATTATCATCATCTCACTATAAATTTAACTTTACCAAGAAAAATTAATTATAATATAAATATTTATTAATATATCAAAACTGCATACTAATGGACACTATTTAATATAGTAAATAATAAACGACAAAATAATTATCTACTTACAGTTGTGTTTGGTGGAGCTGCATCCAAACCAGTAAATAAATGTTTGGCCAGCAATGATGGACTGCTATCAGTACGAGTATCTAGTCTATCGTGATGTGTATCCTAAAAAAGAATAAAATTTTATAATTTAAGCAATCGTACTTAAAACCTATAAATAAATTTGCATAAACATGTTAAAACTTATTCAAAAGGGTTAATTTCTAATTGCCTATCACCTATGGCAAAACTTTCACCACCCATTAAGGTCAAAAACCTTTCCTGTTAATTGCACAACCTCTGCTCCGCCACCAGTCTTGTTTTTTGCATGAAACTGTAAAGCCCCCTTTTTCTTTACTGCACTTTTTTATCGGCCAAATAATAAAACCATAGACGAATTTCATTTAATATTATCAAACCTCCATCCATTGCTTCGAAGTTTTAACAGCCTCCCAAGCTATCCAAGCAAGAATTCCCAAGCAATTGTAGAGTGATTTTCTCCCACATTTTCCGAGTGGCATCTCTTGCACTAGGCACTCTTGAAACAAACTTGGATTTCTTTGTAAAAGGTCCAAAAATGTAAAGGTTTATGGTTTCTTATGTTTCTTTATGTACTATTAGTTATATTTTATATCAATTTGATTAAAACCAAACCACAGATATTCATAAAAGTTGAAAATTAAAAAATTAAAAAATAAACTCCTGAGGCATCGTTTTGGGTATTAATATAATACTATAGAAATTGATAAACTTTTATTGAAACCTAAATTCTCAATTAAATTACATTGTGTAACAAAAAACACACTTCGACAAAAGACATCTGGTGAATGGAAGATTATTAGCCCTCATTGGATTGAAACTATTTATCAATATTATTCGACCAAAGGTAAATAAAACAAAAAATTAATCATACAACATTTATTCGTCATCATCTTCCCTAATAATTACACCATCTAAAAACTCTGCCGGTGCTGAAATATGTAGCTGATGTCTGTCCCATCCTAAATACCAAACTAAGGTCATGACATGTACGCAACAGCCTACTGTGCGCCGACCTACTGAACAACTACAGCAGTACTCTGCGATTCCTGTTCGGCCAGGTATATTATTTTCTAATATATATATACATAATATTGTCTCCGGGTTACATGCCATGACTTAATTTTGCCTCTAATCAATGTAGTTCCATTTGTAGATCCCCTAAGATCATATTCAGATGGATCGAATTGCTCACTACAGATTTCTATTCTATATCCGCCAAGGAAACGCACATGCTCGCCGTAATATGAGAGAGCTTGTTGAATTTGGTACGTTCCCAGGGCAAAAAAAATCAGATCTTTCATTTCTAATATTGGAAAATATAAAATGTTATCCCTATCCGCCGTAATACTTTGAAAGTAGGATGTGCGTCTGTTCACATTTCGATCTTCGACCATATTAGCCAGATTATTTTCGAAATTAATTTGCTGCCTAATTATTTCTAATATTTCTGTATCTACAAAGCGAACACCAAACCTGTTTAACAGAGCCGCTGCTATTTGGAAGTTTTGCATCATATTTGGTAGAAACCTATGGTTATATTCTTGTCGAAATATTTTAAAATCTCTTTAAAAATGTCCATTGACGGCCACCCATCTGCAAATTGTGACACAGCGACTCCGATTGGCTTGAGCAGTAGTGAGTTGGTGTTCACCTTCTATCAAAGATTCTGGCATATATGGTTTGTACCCACACCCTTCTAACAAACTTATACAGTCTCTGAATCTCCTATCCAAGATAAATATATCATTCTCTCTAAAATATGATCTTAAGGCAGAATTCTCACTGAACAAATTGGTCATTATTTCTGCATCTGATGTAGTTGCTTTGTACAGGCCAAAACAATCAACAATTCAAAATCATGAATGGTTTTATTAAGTTTCTATATTTGTGAAGTGAGTAACTCTGTTTTTGGAACATATAGTTTGAATTTTTATTTATGTATATATATGTTCCATCACAAATTACAATAGCCATTGTGTTGTTTTCATTTCCTAAAGGCTATGTGGTATTGTTAACTTGTACTCCAGCAGTTGCTCTCGAGTTAAATGGTTTATTCCCAAGTTTTGGGGTACAAAATTTTGGAGCAAAATCTCTCTTATTTTGTCTATTGAATTCTCTAGTTCTGCATGGCACTTGTACTAAAGTGGCAATTCTTTCATCGGAATCCCCCTGTCGCCATCTTCATTAAAATGCTGCTAGGCCCAAGCAAGGATGCTTCATTTATACGCGGAACTTCTTCTAATATACTGTTGAACTTTTCTTTGGTAAGTCCAATCCAGTATTCGAATATTCTGTCATCCATTTCAAGAACATTTTCGAAGTCCAATATTGTATTAATTTTAATAAAAGAAAATACATGTTGCACTTGGTCTGCAGTAAAAGTGTCCAATATATTTGCAGAATCATATAATGTCTCCCATAAATTGCTACTTAAATGTTCACTGCAAACACAAGCTAGTTTAGCCCTTTACAACTGGACAGAAAAAGTTAAGATTTATTGTAATTTATGATATAGGTCGAATTTATAAAGCAATAAGCTACCTAGGAAAAATACTGAAAATAATCGGAAAAGCTAGGTTTTCCTGATTAGTAGTTAGTAGTTCCTGATAGGATTAGTTTTACATATGTACATTTGTGCATCTTTATGGATTTGTGTGTTTATTGAGATAATTAGACAACATTTATGTATTAAATAATTATTATTAGAAAAATTAAGTATTACTATAATAATCAGTCTTAATAACTATTATTAATGAGTATCAAAATAAGGAACATTTTCTTATTAAACATTAACTTAAATTTTTTTATGTAATTAAATCACAATTAACAAGTAATTAAACGTTAAGTAATCATCAAAATTTAACAAAAATGGTAACAATTATTATCTAATAACATTTTGGCATATTACTAAAAAAAGTAAATTAAAAAAAAACAATTAGTTACAGTGAAATTTTTTAAAACAATTCTGTCCTCGAATTACACAAAGATAAGCGTTACATTTCAAGCAACGAATTTTTGTGCGGCTTCTACATGTTTCTAATTGGCAAAATCTAGGCGATTTTAAATCATTGAATACCGGCAAATGATCACACGCATCGTACCGTAGTGTTGCCGATGGCATTAGAGCTTTTTTAAATTTTCTCGGCATTATGTTTTCAACTTCCTCCATGCCTTCTGTTCGACGTTTTTCAGGGAAACTTAGTAAGACCTCAGATATCTCAAGACGAAAGTCTATAAATCTAGTGTTTTATTCCGTCTGTAACTATTGGAAGTGCAATCTATTTCGTAAGCGCGCAAAGTGTTGACTAAATCTAAATCATAAACGTGAATGAGTACTTTTAGTGTCCATTTTCAAGTTTTTATGAATGTTCGGTAGTATTCAACCTGTTGGTTGAGAACATCCACTCCTCCCATGTATCAGTTATAATTTTGTATTATTTTTGGTGCAGTCACGTCAACATAGGTGCGAGTTCGCTTATTCCACCTTTTAACCATTTTAGTACAGTCAGATTCAGTTCAGTTACAAGCTATCAATACAGATTTATTGTCTTTCCACTTTACCAATACTGTAGGGTCCCTTACCATCTGCTCGCTCTCACCATGATACATTTGACTATCCTTCTTGAATTTTAAACTAGTCTTGTCTGGTATTTTATTCTCCATGATAGTTCCTGTGCTGTGTAGGTTCCGCTTTTGTAATTCTCCTATTAATGGAATGGTGGTGAAATGTCTGTCGTGATATAAACAACTTCCTTCAGGAACACTTCTTGATAAGTGCAAAACTACGGAGGGTCCAAGACCAAGATTAGTGTCCCCGAACATAGTCCTAGCCCCTTGATAAATGTCAAAGTCTAACATAAGCCCATCACTTGTTGTGAGGACATAGTTTTTGAGACCAACTGGTCGTATTTTATTTGTAACAACTTGTCTCAATGGGCATCGACTGAATGGTATTGTTCTTCGATAGAATAGTACCCTGAAACCCTTTCTTGCTTGTAACAACCATTGAGAACTTCAGTTATCATAGGTTGTAGTTTCCACAACGGATTTGTCGCCTGTTGAGGTGGTGCAGTATCAGTGCCTACTACATGCAATGCATTTCCCAATTGTAAGAATCGATCACGGCTCATTTTGCTAGTTATTTTGTCTAGGGAAATGCTACTACGCCAGTACATAGGTAGCCTTGGGAATGGAATACATCCCATTAAAGTATGAATACCAAAAAGTTTCTGTATCTCGGACTTCGTAGTTTTTAATTCACTCCCAGTCATTCTCAAATAATATAAATTTGTGCAAGTACTGACCATTTTAAAAAAACTGGTCATCAAAGTAATCTTGCATGTAATTAATTGCTTGTCTTACCGATTTAATAGGTCATTCAGGGTACATATGCTGCTTATCTTCAAACAAAGTAACTCTCCAGCGACTAGGGCGGGAACCAAAGCACACGTTTAGCAGTTGGTACTACGGAAGAAGGTGCTGGTATGGACTGGTCTGGTACTAGACTGCCTTCCACCTGGTCATATTTTTGATTTTCAGCAGGATCTTCGGGTAAATCAAGGTCACCTAGATTGTTCAAGACAGCAGTATTAAAAAACGGTTCCTCGTCATCGGATTTGTCAAAACACTCAATGTCCGAATCATTGCCGTCACTTGTAAAATGTCTTCGTCATGCATACAGCCTAAAAAATTCAAAAATAACCACTTAAATTACATCGTACAACGAAATAAAATAACACTGTAATTATGTTAAAAAAGTATAAGTAACACCTAAAATGCACAAACATTTTGATGCAGAATAAATGAATTAATAATGAACATAATTACAAAAATACGTAATAATATCAGTTGGTTTATTACTAATAGAATTAAATAGTTAAATAATAATATTCCATTACAACATGAGAAAATAATTATACTTACTTGAAGCGCCTCGCCCGCCAAAATACACTGCCATTTCAAACGAGGTACTGTGGCGTAGTGATGAGTAATAACTTGTATTATTATGTTTTTTATTAAGTACTATATCATGCATGAGCGAGCGATGTAGGTTGCGTTCGGTAAAATAAGTTATGGGAAGCGCTATATTTATTCAAAGTTAAATGCACGCGTGACTATGAGTCGGTTGTAAAGGGATAGGTATGTAGTAGTTGTGATTGCTTAGAACTATAGCACAGAGTTTGTCACTGATGACATGCAATGTGGTACTGTTACAATCGTTGAACACACAACAATTGTTGTTGTTAGCTGCTCTTCTATAATCTGGTAAAGTTAATCCATTTGGTGTGCGACTCACTTCTTCATTTGAAACAGATGGCTGCACCTCTGCTATTATAGGCATATCTGCTGTTAACAAATGCTCAGTTGCAGATTGTGGTCTGTTCACATCATAGGTACGACGGGCCTCTCTTTGAGTCCGCAACCAACAAGGGTGACATACCTTATCAGTTTCTGTTACCTAGAAATAAAAAAATACTTTAGTGAGAAAGCTGAACAATTTCTTTTTAAATAAAATGTGTGGGAAAATAGGCATATCAGTAAAACCCTTTTGAATATATTCTAATACACTTCCATTCATAGGTTTGATTAGCATATAAGCACATAATAATCATAACATTTGGAAATCAAATCAATGATATATGTGTGTTAGTATATGTACACACAGGGACCAAAAATACCCATTTGGTTAAAGATTAGAAGAAAATGGTTCCAACAATCATTATTAGCTAAATCCAACATCATTAGCTAGCTCGAAACTAAGCCTGAGCGTATGCTATGGCAACTAGGATAACAGATAGTACTTATATACGATTATTAACATCCATCACTGAGATACAAATGTTCATGCTCATCACACAAACATTTGACACTTGGACTTGAACCCGCAACTGATGGTTTCATAGTCCGCGCAGACCACTAGACTAAGACAGTCATCAAAAAAATATACATAGCATACCTGTCGTGGAGCAACCCTGTTTTCAATAATAGTAAACATCAACTTATGCAGGTCCATGGGGTTATCTCTCAATATTCTGTCACTCTTCCGTCGCAAAAGGGAACACCCACATAAAAGGCATACACTAGTGTGGCCTTGTGGACTTGGTCGAGGTTGTTGGTTATCAATGCCAGATATTTCTTGTAAACTATGATTTACACTTATTGCTAGATCTCTGCATGCTTCACAGATATAGTCATCCTCGGTAATCTGAAAAATAAAAGTATTTGTTATTAGGATGGAGTCATCCGTATATAGATCTATGCAAAAAATTGATTGTAATCTATTGTGTTTGGTAATGGCAACAGACGAGAGGTTAAATGTTGAGTTAAAGTGTCATCCATTGTTCATCATATTAATTTATGAGGCAATCATATTATGTATAATGGGTGCAGACTATTTTTACAATTAACATTGATCATTAAAGACTCAGCTGGATATACCTCTAATAGATTTATTATTCTGATAAATATAAGATATTACGGTTCTTTAGAATAAATAAACACTTACGATTTGTGGATACACCCAGCTACAGAGTAATGTGGTAACTTTTATGTCGAGTTCCAAAGCACGGTATCGACGCAGTGTATTAACACATATGTTGCAATTGATGCACATAATGCGAGTAACTCTGCCACGATTGCTCATCAACATCATGTCTGAATGAAGTAATCCTGTGACAACAAGATCCAAATCTTAGGGCACAAATCGGACGGAGTCCAGATGAGAACAGCGCAAATGTCGTGGGGTGTAGCAGTATCGGAATCCTTGGGCACGCAATATTCACACAATAGAAAATCAATATCGGATAAGTCCAGGGGCAGTCCAGGTCGAATAAAAATAAGGAAATCAAAAGGCAAAACCAAGAACATAAAACACAGGCAGCACAAACGGCGCGAAACTCGAAAGCAATCATAGATAAATAAATATGTAGCAAGCTAAAAGCAATGTGCATAGCATAGATTACTGACCATGGGCGTGCAACTTAGAACAAATTTTGAGAACAAAATGATATTTTTTTTGTGCTGCCATCTACATTCCAAAGCACTAGACTCAATTAGACGCACCACGCCACTACGCAGTTAATGGCGGTCACTGATAGTTGAGGTTAATTTAATATTTATTAATTTCAAATTATTCTGATTTCTCGTTTGTTTATATGCTTTCTTGTATTAAAATAAATATTTGCGACCCAGTGTTTTTTTAATGTGTGGAAAAATGTGAAGAAGAAGAAAAATGGCAATGTGTTTTTAAATGTGACCAAGTAAGGACTTTTTTAACAACAGCTAATATCTAAGAAATTGAAGGTTCAAGGCACCTCCACGGATTGCCTCATAGGTACTATTTGCCATAGCTGCCACGCTTGCACAGAGTACCTTTGTATAAACTGAAACGGCACTTTGAGGACCGTTTTCTATATCCTCGAACTAAAATATATACAGTAATCTATGTTACTGACTAGTGACTATGTACTAGAGATAGTGCATAGATAAATAAATATGTGTGAGTGGGTGCAGAAACGTCATTACGACCCTGTCATAATTGACAGGTACGTTGCTATAGCATTTATAATTGTCTCTTACTAAACAAACTGAATTCCAAGAATATACAGACTTATATATTACTAGCGTAGTCCTTTTGAAATCATTGAGAATATATAGAAAATACGACATATTTTTTTAAATAATCTTATGCCACTTTTGTTAAAATGATATTTATAATAATTATATTATTTTATCGTAAACCAGATGCAAAAGATGAGGTGAAAATGATTTATAACTACGAAACTGAAATAATTATAAACTGGTCACACTAAGTGACAGAAGCGATATCCATTTGATTACAATCAATTATGTCCCCAAAAAAGTACCTAGTGATTTTTATTCCGGCCTTTACAAGTTTTAATGTTTATTTATAATATTATATAGATAAAATGCAATAATTTTTTTGATTGCGTCCTATAACAATTATAACTCAAGACGCTTCAAAATATTTGACATATTAGGTTTATGTGAAGCACCCCCACTCGATTTTTGCTGCCGGAGCTGCGTCGAAGTACCTATTTTTAATTTAAAATATTGGTTGTTGTTGTTGTTTTTATTATTCGCTCGAGAGAGCAGCCATACAGCCTGGTCTTTTTTAATTTGAATATATAGAATATTCAAGTGTAAAGACCGGAACCAAGTTTTCTTTATATTATAATCTTTATAAGTTTCAATCCATATAGATTTATCAGTCCAATATTTACAAAAACAGGAATACCATATTTCATATTTCTTTTACAGTATTATGAATAAAATTGCAAAGTGCTAATAATGTCTTAGTATTCCTATGAACATATTGCAGGGCACGCGGGACGCTTTTTAAGTTTTCATAAATTTGTATAAGTTTTTCAATGAGTAGCAATCTTTCTATGGCGTACGCTTGGCAGTTAAATATTATGTGTTCTGCAGTTTGTTCTGCTTCTGTATCACAGAAGTTGCATGTTGCAGATGCTACTATTCTCATCCTGGAAAGATGAGCATTCAGTCGATAGTGGTCAAATTTAAGTCTGCACATTATTGTATAAAATTTTCTGCTATGATATCTCTCGTTACGAGAAAACCAAGGAATACTTAATTCTGAATTAATTGATGCATACCAACGACCTTTTCCTGTCTCTCATACAACATTTTATTGCATTTTCCATTCTTCTTTTAACGGTTGCTTTAAAATATAATATAAATCTGTATGTGGTATTGCAACACCAGTTATCCTGTCAATATCAGCTGTGACTATACTTTTAGCTAAATGATCTGCGAATGGAGTGTAGAAGTAAGGAGTACGAACTCCCATAGTAGAACAGTTGAAAAAGGGGCCATCTGTAAGCAGTAAATAACAGTTCAAAAACTCTCCACAACAGCGCTGGAGTAGCTTCTGGGATGTAATGAACTTAGCATTTGTCGACAGTTTAAGTGTGGTGCTAAACTGCGCAGTAGCTCTAAAATCTAAAATAATTTTATTTAGTAAATATAACCTCGAAAAAGTCGTCTATCCCACTAAAATTTTTCGGTGTGTTCTTTAAAATTTACCCCGTAGTTATAGTGGCGCCACCCTTATTTAATGGTTTTTATGGACACTTTTTAATACACAGTTTAATACACCTTCTACACTCCATAGATCTGCACTTTCATTTCCTTGCACTAAGCATGGGCGTTTTCAGTTTTTATCTGCAACGGTTACGTAACCGATATCTAGTTTTCATATCGTTATTGAAAACCGTTTTCAGATATCGATATCAATAGTAATGGTTTGCTACTGAACGTGCAAACGACAACCGAACCATAACCGCAAACTATACTACCAGTGCAACATGTATTTTATGAATTACATAGATTATTCTAGATTAGAAGTCAGAGGTTCTAATGTTATTGTTATCTTAGATGTAATGTTTAAAGATGTATGTTAATATATAATTTTTGTATATTCAATGTTATGCAGTAATAAATTATACCGTTACTGTTACAGCTTGTAACAGTACACCGCTGAGCACATAGGCCTCCTCATAGATTGTATCATAGGCAGTTTTTTTGAAGTGAAACATTTTATGGGAGGGCTTTGATTGAAATGCTGATCCGTAACCTTTTTGTATGACAAAAAGTGGTGGGTGTAAACACTACGTACGTACCGGGCATTCGGTCAATCATTCAAGTCGCAAACGCAGGAAATAGAAATGACTTTTTTTATTCAATGTAGATTATAAAAATACTTATTGAAAGTCACTTTTTTAATTTACCACTGGTTCGCAAAAAAACCTCTGTCCTGGGAAGAACCAGCAAGAAACCCAGCGGGACTATTTTTTTTTAATAATAGCTTACAATCATGTTTACAATCAACAACACAAGACAAATTAGAAATAGCTTGGTAGCGATCACCCTTTCCAGGGGTTATTATCATCTATAAATTCCTTAATATTATAATAACCCTTTTTATACAAACTTAGTTTAATAACATTTTTGAACTTTGTGTATGACAAATTTTGTATATTTTCTGGGATTTTGTTGTAAAAGCGTATACATCGCCCCAAGAATGAATTACTGACTCGGTGGAGTCGAGTAACTGGTACTACCAGCTTGTGTCTGCTCCTAGTATTTACAGAATGAATATCACTTATTTTCGCAAAACTACTTTTATTTTTGTGTACGTACATTACATTTTCATAAATGTATTGAGAGGCCAGAGTTAATACATTAATTTCCTTAAATTTTTGTCTCAGTGACTCTTTTGGTTTTAAATTATAATCTCTAATGGCCCTCTTCTGTAAAATAAATAAAATTTCAGTGTCAGTCGCGTGTCCCCATAGCAAAATACCATACGACATAATGCTATGGAAATAACTGAAGTAAACTATTCTAGCTGTTTCAACACTGGTAAGAGTTCTAATCTTTTTTACAGCATATGCTGCAGAACTAAGTCTGCTAGCTAGTTTTGATATATGGGGGAGCCATTGAAGCTTTGCGTCCAGTGTGATTCCAAGAAAAATGGTGGTATCAACAAGACTCAGTTCCTCCCCATTTAAAATTACTTTAGTATTGACATGTTTAACATTAGGAGTTACGAATTTCATACATTTAGTTTTAGTTCCTTTCAAATGCAAATTATTAACATTAAACCAATTGACTAACTTAGCTATAGCGTTATTTACTTAGTCGTAATTTAATAACTGTCGTTTTAATTTGAAAATTAATGAAGTATCATCAGCAAATAATACTATATCATGGTTATCCCCTACTATGTAAGGTAAGTCATTAATATATACAAGAAACAGAAAGGGGCCGAGAATTGAGCCCTGAGGCACGCCCATTTGTACAATCGACCCGGAAGAACTCATACTATTAATAACAACTTTTTGTGTTCTGTACTTAAATATGATATAATTAATTTAAAAGCATCATTTCTTACAACGTAGCTTTGTTGAAGTTTCCTGATTAATGTTTCATGGTGAACACAATCAAAGGCTTTGGATAGGTCACAGAACACACCCAAAGCATCCTGTGAATTCTCCCATGCATTAAATATATATTTAATCAGCTCAACACCAGTATCAGTTGTCGAGCGACCCCTTGTGAAACCAAATTTATTTTTGTGAAGTAATTTATTTACATTAAAAAAATAACAATTGATCAAGAATAATTTTTTCAAAAATTTTACTAAGTGTTGGCAGTACAGAAATAGGTCTAAAATTAGCGGGCTCCAATGTACTACCAGATTTAAATAAAGGTATTACTTTACTATGCTTCATTAAATCAGGAAACACACCAGATTTGATACTACTATTAAAAATAATAGATAGTTGAGGTGCGATTGTATCTATTATAGACGCAATAACTTTAACAGAAATCCCCCCACAGATCGGCGGGTCTCTTAATATCAATAGTCTTAAAATATTTTACAATATCTTTTGATGAAACTTTATGAAATGTAAAATTCTTTGTACACACATTTACATTTTGTTTAAGTAATGATTCGGCGACGGTAGGAGAAGAATTCATTGACTTAGTGGTTAAGATCGGAATATCAGTAAAATATTTCTCAAAAACCATTGCAACGTCCTGATTTGATTTAGTTAATTTATTGTTAAAATTTAACTAGAAGTTTGAATTGCGAGAGTTGACCTT